TTCCTTGAAACTGATGATGACAAATTCGTAACACAAGCTTACGACATTTCCAACACCCTGGCAGAGAATTCAAGAAAAATTCTAACAATGTAAACAACAGCCTATCATATCTTACAAACGAGTCTGCTAATAAATTGTACATCTTGTATACTCTATGATCAGACTGATAATATCTTAAATTCACTATTAAAAATTCTTCCAAAGGCGCCAATAAACTATCTGCTCTCATCAACTATATATGAATTCACAAAATCTTTCCTGACAACTGACCGAAAGCAGTTCCGACAGTTCCGATAAACGATAATTCCAATCCCTAAGCCAAACAAAAGAAAAAAAATGCAAATGCTATCGTCCGATTGCGTTAAACAACACTATGTGCAAATTATTAAAGAGAATTTTAAATCGAAGGCTTTATTGGTACCTTTAAATAATTAAATAAATTAAATCCAAACCAATATTTTTGGTTTTCATTCCATCATAGACGTCTTAACAAACATGAAATCCTGTATTTGTCACGCTTTCCTTCAGCTTTGAGGAAAATATTAAGGATATTAAAAAAGCTTTCGACATAGTTTGGAAGTCTAAGATTACAAAATTTCTCCTTCAGTTAAAAGTGAATAGTGACATACTGTTCTTTATAATTAATTTCTTATCAAACAGATACATCCAAGTCCAAATGGAACTCTTTCATATCTCGTAACAATTCAAAACGAAGTCTCGCAAGGATCAGTAGTGAGGGTCACCCTATTTTTAATTGGAATAAACTACGTCACTTCCAACCTCAAGCCACCAATTATTTACTCCACTTATTTACGGATGATACTACCATCACATGCAATGGGCAAAATATACATTCCATAAATGAGCATATGCAAACATCAATACTCTCCAGGATTGATTAAATACGTCTGGTCTATAATTTTTACCACACAAAACCGAAGACATCCTAGTCACAAGAAAAAACGAACACCAACTTTTACCTAAACTACTCTTGAGGAATACAGAAATAATATTCGTAGCTACCATCAAGCTGTTAGGCCTTATTTTTTACCAAAAGGTATCTCAGGTACCATATTTAAAATCCTTAAAAGATTCCTGTACAATAAAACTTAATATCATTGAAATACTTTCCAATAACAATTAGAATGCAGACTAAGAAATTCTCCTAGAAACATACAGAAATTTAATACGTTCCAAACTATATCGTTTTCGACTTTATAACTCAGCCAAAAGTCATATTTAAAAAATAATAAAATCATTACCAAACAATATATTGCTCGAGGCCCTAGAATCCAGAAGGAAATCTTAAGACTTAAATACGCAATAAAAGTTTCCTTCACTCCAAACAACAACCTATAATTGTATCTTCTCTAATAGATACAAAAAATTCTACGGCAATGAGCCTAAACTACTCTCATCCTTCCATTTATTAGACTTGCTAAAATTCTCTAAACAACCATCATTAAAATGTCTTTTATTATTGAATGCAGAGGAACTAAAATTCCTCCCTGGACAATAAAAGCATTCCAAATCGAGATCAGTCTCGCCGAACTCATCAATGGCAGAGACACAGAATAAATTCTGACACCAACTTAATCTCGCAAAACGACATCCCAAAAGTTTTGAAATTCCTCAAAGAAACAAACATCTACATATATATCTAGACTAGTAAATTCCATCGTCGTCGCTAATAACTTCGCAGTCGATGTAAAACATTATATAAAAAAAAAATTCTGTTCTTCGAATTGCTTGTAGTAGAAATCTTTAGCATCAGCCCGATTTTAAATCTAATTATGAATTAATTAAACCTAATTAACAGATTAAAAAGATCTGATATTTCAACCACTTTTGTGTAATAAAGGTCTTTAAATTTAAATTCGTTAAATAAGTTAGTACTGTTTTACTGGAAAATAAAGATGTAGTACGAATTTAATTTCAATATTAAATTAATTTTCGAAATTCTCGAAATTTTCTTCTTCGATAATCTACTCTATTTCGATAAATGTCGATGTTGAGTTCTACATCAAATTTAATAGAAAGTCTAGATTCTTTAAAATACCATTATATATTGAAATCGTTAATTAAATAAGATTCAGAAAGACACACTGATAGCTCTGTCCGTAAAACAGATTGTGACATTATTGAAGGTATAAACTTTAGATTATCCTATAGTATCGATATTAAATCAGCTAAAATAACAGTATTATAATAAGATTTTAAAATTGTAGTATAAATTATGGTATAAATAAAAATTGCCGGTAAAAACTAAATTTTCATAGAATTAAATTTAGATAACATCATATTAGAAGTATTAGAAATAAATAAATTATTCTTATTTGGATTTTTTCACACGTGAATGTTTCTAGACACGTGAAGAAACAGACACGATAAAGAAAATATATTATACGTTCCAAAAGTCTCCCAAAATTATAAAATGACTATAAAATTCTATAAAAAAATCCTTCAATCGTATTCTTCAATAATAGTGAATGAAAGGGCTCTGCAGCATCATATCGTTGGAAATAAATAAGGAAATTTTTCAACAAAAATCTAACTATTACGAAATTTGAACAAATAAGATTGAGCAAATTAGGATTATAAAGCAGATACTTACAGTATATCTATGATACACTGCGATATATAATTTCTATGTAACATCTTTGATCCATCAATGTAGTATTTGTAATTGACAAATTATCATGAGACATTTTTTTGAATTGTCATAAATATAAAGATTCTCGCTTTAAATACCAGATCAAAGACATTCCAAGTGCCAATTTGAAAGAAAGGAATTTTTTTTTTAACAAAATCTAACTAAATATACTCACTATTTTTTTTAACAAAAAGATGCTTAACAAAATCTAATTAAATATACTCACCGTTAACACTCGCATGTGTATAATTGCTATTAAAAAAAGAAGAATTAAATTCCAGTTAACATAATAATTTATATTTAGGAATTTACGACTTTATAAACCAACTAAATTTATTAATGTGATTTTTAATAATTAATGTTTTCTAATCATAAATATTAATAATTAAATAAAATTAAAAATCTTGACAACGTCCAATTTTAGTATATTTCTATTCTATTCCTTACCTATTCTAGTCTTACCCTTTCTACCTTCCTTCTTAATGTCGCAAATTATATGCTAATTTTACTAAATGTGCATATTCTACAAGCTACGATCTTTATTTTGTATTTTAATTTTTCCATAATAACATTTGACGAAGGAAATAAAATGTGCAAATAATTGTATCAATTGAATTATTTGCATCTTATCAATTATTCACAGGTTATGGAATTGTATTCTTATAACTTTAAAGGAATTTTTTGAAGAATTTAAAATTGTTTACATTAGAAAAATTACATGTGGTTTAAATGTTGAAACATCCTGATAAAAATTATTTGAGAAATACTTAATAAAACAGTTAAAGAAACTTTGACATAAGTCTAAGATCTTAAGGCTAAAAGAATCGATATTGGCATCGACATCGATAGTCTTCAAACTTTCCACTCAATTAACTCAACCTTGTCCAGCTTTTAATATCTCGAAAAAGAAATCGGATCACTTTAGAAGAGATATTTCACTTGAACTGAGTTGCCTATCCCATTACAACTCACGATCAGGTCAATGTCTCGCGGCGCAGCATTTGCAATCAGCTACTTCTGGAAGTCCATTTCCAAGTCTGACCTCGAGCATCGAAGTAGTTAGAGGAAAAACGAGAAAAGAGAACGAACTTCCTTCGTCAGATGAATTATTTCGAGGAAAAAGTTATAGCATAGATGGGTCACTCTCCGGTAGAGGAAAACTGGTTCACTTGTTATGCGATAGACACAGCTATCATAGTATTCCTTGCATAATTATTACCGATTCTAGAAAGATTCTGACTAGAATATGATTACTGACATGGTTAGATTTTTGTATTATACATATAATAATTAAATTAGATCAATTACTGCAGATAGTCTAAGATCTTTATGGTTTTATACAAAGTTCACGAATTTATAATCGGACAATATTAGAATGATTTGGAATAAGTATTTATCCAATATATTTCCTTAGTCGAATATCTTATTTGGATAATAATTATTCATTATTCGTAATAACTTATTTATATTCTCTTTATACATTCGAATACCTTATTCGAATGAATTTTTCGAACAATGTAAATAATTATTATTTTTATTTTAAATTTTGTACGGATATATTTGATCTCGTATGCAATTGCGTATAGGCGTAACATTTAACAAGGTTTATTGAAAAAACCAATATGAAAATAATTGCACAATAAAATGTGCCAAATATGAAAAATTATTTTACATATTAAACGTGTCCTTTATGATATAATATAATTAAATAAATATAATAATAATATTTTTATTCGAATAGATGTTTATCTGAATATATTGTACAAATAAATACTTATTCGAATAAAGAACTATTTGACTGGATATTTACTCAATAGTAATAAATAAAACTTTATTCCTTATTTTTATTTCTTATCCGCCATTTAAATGAAATTTTGCCCAACACTGTTTTATATTTATATTTCGTTTCATCATAACATGATTTTTCTCACAGCTATTTATTTAATTTGTTTTAATGTAATACTGAATGTTTCCCCCAAATTACAATTGAATTAAAATTGAAAAATACCGTGTAAGTACAATTAATCAATATTAAATTTGATAGAACAATAAATTGTTTGTAAACTTATTATTCAGATTTGAACTTTAGTATTCAAACAAAACAGAATATGACAAAATTCTTTTTAATTAAAAATTTTAATAGAACTAATTTAATAGAACTGCATTAAAAAAAGTTTAATTAGGAAGATATAAAAATATTAAAAAGTATAATTCCTTTAAACGACTTATTTTCTAAGAATAGTTTTGCAGCAGTTTTAATTGCATTCACAGTTGAGCAGAGTGAAGTTGAATAGTTGGAACATACTGTGTACTTTCTTCAGAATTCACGGTAGTGGAAAAGCAAAGTAACAAGATTTCACTGCTACTAACTCGAATTATCACCGGTAATGCCCCCGTTGCAGCTTGACGAACTTTGAGGAGAGTCCTTCCGACAGAGGGAACTGAAAAGTTTCCGAGAAAGATTCAAAATCTGTTAAAGAATACCTGAACAACGTTCTCGACATTACCCAAGGATGTCAGCAACAGAAACGTCGTTCTCGACGGTGACAAGAATTAAGTTTCGTCTTCGTGTTGTGGCACGTGGCTTTCCACTACGACGAACAATGAGCAGAATAGTGAGAAAGCTTCTTCGTCTTTTATGTTAGAGTTCAATGTGGCCCAGAAAATAATTAGCATCGACTGCTTTAGTAAAGTTGTATATCTTCTTCAAAGCATCTTTACACGTAACTGCACTGTGGTTTCTCTTTGTTTTCCTCCTTGTTCTCACTCCTGTACTGTTCATTATAAAGATAAATATAATTAAAATGATTTACATAAGTAATAAAAAATGAAACGTCAATGATTACGCTATTTCAAATACGAGAAAGAAAATAATAATTAACAGAACTGAAAACTGTACTGTTACACTTGTATTGATATAGTTTCGTATTATTTTGTAAATTTTAATTTTGGAGGAATTATCAAAACTCTTTCGAAAAAAATAGTTCACGTTGTAAAGTCTTAATCCGATAAGAGCATAATCACTTAGACAAATAACATGTTTTATATTTTTATACAATTAAAAAATTTTAAAAATAATTATATAATAAAAAATAATTAAACAATTTTTATACAATTGTAAATATGAAAAAACTTGATATAAATTCTAATAATTATTATAAAACATCTAATATTTCAATTTTTTAATAAAGACAAACTGAACGTTAAAATTTTTAAAAGATATTGACTTCTTCCATAATAATCTCCATAAATCATAGATTAATCTAAATAACTCATAGTTTTTTTTCTATACTATACATGATGTTTCAGAAGTCATATTGCATGTTGGATCAGGGGGATTTATTGTTAGGAATATTGGAAATTCTATCTGTTTATTTATTTATATTTATATTATATATATTTATTTTATGTTTATTTATGTATATTTATTTATTTTGGATATATTTAGATATATAATGGAGTTGCAAAAAGCAAGACGCTCGAATGTTTTCGTTACTTATTATAACAAAAAAACTTTTAGGGAAAGACCATTTGATGTAACAACGAAGAAAATCTTATTAATGTCATTTTTTATGGGATTTCAAAGCTATCAGCTCTTTTTAGATAACTTCATCATTACGTTATAATTGATGTCAAAATGAATTCATCGGCGTAACACGTCGGCATAATGCACGGATAAAATAACCTTGAACTTCAAAATTTAAGTTCAATAAAAAAAAGGTTACAATTGTAATAACAATATGTGTATTATTAGCTAGAATAACAAATCAAATCTTTCTAAATAATTTTAATATTTTATTAAATTATGTTTCTCTCATATTTTAAATTTTATTCGAACGATAATTCTTAATTGTAATATACAATATATAATATATAATTCTATTATAATATAAATAATTCTATTATAATTCTTAATGATATAATTTTTAATCACTCTAAAAATTTTTAACAAAGGAAAGAAACTTGCGCAACGATGTAAGATATTTTTAAAAGCATAAAATTTGAGAAACGGTTGGCCGCATTTCAATTTCACGTCTACTTTTAATACTTACTGGCGGCACGTGAATTGCGACTATCGGCGATTAAAGTGGCTTTAAAACACTGGAAATATAGTATAGGAAACTATAAGTTACTTCGTATAAAATATTCTTGTAGCAGAGGTCCATTTCATTGAGATCACCTCAGAATGACGAAGGCGTCTTGATAGAGGAAACGTGTTACGGAAGTATGCCGTGAATACAAAAGCACACTAACATGTATCTCTTCGCACATCGCGCATCAGTCAGCGAATGTATTCTCGAAGAACAAAAAGATGTTTTGTGAACCAAATATCATCAACGGTCGTTCAAATGTCTGAGGGATTTGTCTAAATGGAGCAGAAAAGCATTATATGATTCTTCCATTTTTATGGTGTCTCCGTTTAATATGTTTATTCTTGTTTTAAGTGTTTTGAAGAATTTCTAATATCTTCTATTGATATATTTGTTTCGTCGTTCAATTTTAACAATAAATCGTATGAAAGTATTGTTAACGATTTTATATTTAATTTTACTTATCGAGGAAATTATTATGATTTTTATTTATGAGAAAATGTTTTCTTACGCAGTAAAAATAGAGTAGTATAACAAAAATTTGAAAAATCATGTAGAATATCATTATGATTCGAGAAATTTTCATAAACAAATATGCTATAGAAAAAGATTGCGAGTAAAAAGAAGATATATTACAGGGTGATTCTTAAATGCATATTTTCAGTCGTAAATCTATGCATTACAATACGTAAAAAACATGAATCTATGTCTTACATATGTACATCTCAATTTTCGTGGTATAGATAATTGAAGAAAATATGCAATGTATCTACCTACTGCCTTCCTTAGCATTGAATTCCGCACTCCCTCGAAATACCAAGTATACTGGATTCAATATTAATGGATTCAATTTTATTTAATTTATATCGATGAATACTTTTTGTACATTAGATAAGATTTTTTTTAAGCATGTTTAAGCACAAGGTGAACACATCAAATATTTTCTTCAATCATCTATAACTCGAAAACTAATATGTAATGTATGAATATATATATATATATTTTTTACTTTATTTACTATGTGGATTCATCACTCAAAGAATGAATATGCATTTGTTTTATGAATTTTATGAATTGTGTTGTGAACATTCTAATATTTATATTTAATGGTTATGAGAATGTCGGCAACCGTTTCCTTTTTATGACTTTAAAAATTATTTGGATATCTGTTTAAAAATATTTATAAAAAAGAGTTATCTGTTTAAAAATATTTATAAAAATATATAGAAATTCACTCTAAAGAATTTGTGAATGGAAAAATTAGTATTTCTTTCAATAGATGCTCGTATAAATAATTCACAAATACAGATATGGTGATCAAAATTATCAAGTAGCTGAATAAATAATGAAGAAATAATAACATCTATAATACTTAACAATAATCTGTAAAAATATATAAATATAAATTTAATTTTGATCTAATTCATAATATTATATTAAAACAGATTAATACTAGGTTATTCTAGAGCTATAAATTAGTTGATTTATTTAAAAGTAAATGAAACAATTTATAATTTATTTACAAGCAAATAAAACATTCTTAACAAATACTATCAAAGGTATAATAGTTGGAATAAAGATCCACATATACATAAATCTTCATATTCAATATTGAAACAATAATTGTTATAAGACAATTATTGTTCGTATATATTGTTTCATTTATATTATAATTCATACAGGAGGTAGCCGAACAACATGCGAAGTGATTGACATAAGGTGATTTCTTCTGAAAAAATAAAAAAAAAATAAAATTTTCATTTTTGGCTTAGTTTTCAAGAAAATCGAGTTTGAATATCATGTACATTCCTATGTAATTCCGACAAAATTAGAGTTCATGGAGGTATAATACATATCGTATTTGTAAACATTGCTTTATGATACCGAACAATCAGCTTTGGTTTAAATACCACAACGATGAGTTACTCGAACAGGGAATGTTACATTACCATGTTTCGGCAATCAGGTGATCAGAGTTGTACATTTGATAACAAAGAAAACATTTCAGTAATTTTGTAATTAAGAAATAAAGTTTTCTTTGATTAATTTTCCTTGTATTTTTTCTTCCATTCAGTAGCTTCTAAACGTCAATAGATATTGTTTGCAAGCACAAAACATACTATATACCGCTCAACAATACATAATTTTACTGCAATGGCATATGAATGTAGCAAATTTTCAAACTCGAAAACTAAACAAGAAAAAATTTTATTCTATATTTCTTTCTTATTTTTCATCAGAAATTTTACAGTATATTTTACGGCGTATTTTGTATACAATAATAGATATAAAATGTAGATATAAATATAAAGTTTATATTGAATATTTTGTCTATATTAAATACTTATCCATTCTAGAACATACAATTATATTATACATTCATTTTTTTGTTAATTATATTTAAATTTTATAAAATTACGAATTTCTTTCTATTTCTTTTTTTTTGTTAATTATATTTAAATTTTATAAAATTACGATTTTCTTTTTATTCTTTAAATTTATAGTCATTTTTATGAGCCATAGAGACTATATTTATTAAACTTACAAACATTTCAGAAATATGGTTATAGACTTTTTTGAAAAAATTTTTATTATATACATGTATTTTAAAGAAATATTAGTGCCAGTTAAGCTAGTGCTGTTATTCGGTTACGTATAATAAAATTGCGAATGAGAATAAGCAGATGCTCAACATCGATGTGACTCAAAATCGTGTAATTATCCGCGTATCCATAGCAGTATCCATAGATAGATGAAAATTTAGAAGTAGCAAACGACTCGTAGTTATGATATCTTTGAAAAGAATAGAAGCATGCACTAGCCGTGAAATGGAAAAGAGGATGTTTTCATGTAAATCATTTCTTACGATTTTCGTTTGTGATTCTTAAACTGTAATCCGCGATTCCTGTGGGTCCTTTGAGCGCATAGTCAAGAATCCGCAAATCAAACCAAATTTTGGAGGCAAATTGACATAAAAATAATATTTATGAGTCATTCCCAACACTATTCGAATTCTTGCAACTTCTGGGGATACAGTATCCCCTAACATTGTTGATAATTTTGTTATACACCTGAAACACTTGAAAGAAACTTTCAAACTTTATTTTCCTTCCCTGAAGTCAGGAAATGACTGAATAAGGAATTCATTTCATTGTCAAGAAATTCATGAATTGAAAACTAAACTTGATCTTTTTGGAACAACTTGCAGAATTGTGATGCGATAGTTCTATAAAAATTGCTTTCCACCAGAATAGTGGAGTTAATATTTCCTGAGTTTTAATTGTGCGTGAGGAATACATTCATATGTCGAACTGGCAGAAAAACCTATCAAACAATTACTCCTCTTTTTCACGTATTTGTGCGAAAAGATATTCTCTAGCCTTAGTATACATAAAAAACAAATATAGAAATCAATTGGATGCCAAATCATGGATTTATGGATACAGGTTGATCATGTAAATATCAAATATTGAACTTAAATATTGTATATCTAGCAAAAATAGATACTTAGATATTGTATATCTGGCAAAAATCAGCATCAT